AAAGAAAGCTGTTTTTTTCCCCTCCACTGAAAGATCAGCCAAGAAACATTGAGTTGCAAGGAAAACACTTTGTTTTCATAACAACTTAAACATTTCCCACTGGAAGAAGCCTGTTACCCCAGTGCAGAGAACAATCAGAGCCGGAGATAACGGGGGGTTCTGTGACTGTGGTTATGGGGCACCGTTTTGTCAATGTATGCAGATCTTCCAGGGAAAATGGAGAGCTAAAGACAGTCTTTCCTCACGTACAAAAGGAACTACCTAAAGTCTGCATTGACCACAAGGTGACTTAGTTCTACCATGAGGTCCTGCCTGCCTCACGTTGCTTCACAACTCAGACCATCTGTCTGGTCTGCAGTTTCGAATAATTTTCTCTTCATTTAGTGTTGCTTAATCGTCTTCATTGTGCCACCTATGCATCACCTGGGCCCTCCACACAGTTACCAGGTTGACCTGCTGCCCACTTTACAAAGCAGGAACTCAAAACCCTGAGGACCTGCTCGAGCCAGAGGAGGAACAAGGAAGCTTTGTCCTCATCACACCCCGCCTACAGGTTTCAGCACACTTGTTTTAATGTGTATGGTTTAATCATAACTATAATCCCTTTTTATCCTTAAAAGGAAAATTGAAATTCAACTCTGGTCCTGTCAGATCCTTTCCCTAAAAACAAAGAGAGTATGTGATTAAAGCCAGACTTCCTGGGTTCAAATACTGCTTCTACCACTTACTAGCTGTGTGATCTTGTGGAAGTTAATCAGCCTCTCTGATGAGAATAAGCCTACCTAATATTACTATTGTGAGGATTAAATGCTTAGAACCTGCTTAGTACACATCAAGTACTATAAAAGTGCTTCGATGTTACCAGGTACAGCATGTTAGATAGAATAATTAGGACTGGGACCCAAGACACCCAAATCTAGGCTTAGCAGGTGGGACCTTGGCTATAGCTTTTGTTTTCTCATTGTAGAATGAGCGTTCTGGAGGGCCAAATGATTCCCAGAGCATCTTCCTGCCATAAAACACTATCTTGCTGTAGGATTATATTAATTTCCCTCTTCCTTACAGCCCGACTGTGATATAAGTTGAAATTGCTTTTCTACTTTAAAGAGAGGAAAATTGAGACACAGGGAAGGCAAATGGCTTCTTTTTTTTTGAAAAAAAGTGCATCTCTGACTCAGAATTAGGAAATTTCACTTTGCATTCTCACAGCTTAATAAATGGCTAGCTTCCTTGCCTCTGACATTTGAAGGATTAGGCCCAGAGTCCATCCTTCCCAGTATTTTGTTTCTCAAAATAGCTACAGACAGCATTTGCACCCCCAAAGTATTTCTTTAATAACCTGTCACCATGCTGTCATCCGTTAATTTATCTAAATCTATATCCTAGAATGTTCAACCTCTTGGGGTAATGACATTCATACGTTTTCAACACCAGGCCTCCTGAATTCTTCAAGGAACTTTGAAAATTGCATGGTGGCCAGGAACCTTCTCTGAAGGACCCGAGTGATGTCAATTTGGGGGCGGGGGGGATGCTAGATCTTCTAGGCCAGTGATAAGATAAAATAGGGATAGGTGTCTGAAAAGGGAAAACAATCACCTCTTTTCCATTAGAGAACACACTATCTATTTTTTTTTTCATTTCAAGGCTGGTGCTTTGAGCTCAGAGTCTCTGTGGAAAGAATTCAGAGAACACCATGAAATAGGGCAAATCAGGTTACCTGCTTGCCTCTGAAATGAGCTACATGCCCAGTGCTCTTTCAGAGCTCAGAGTCCTGGGTCAGAGCTGGGCAAGCGCTGTCTCCTCTGTCTGCCTAAAGCCCTGACAGATGGACATGAGTGTAGGGTGAGAGGGCACAGAGGTGAAAGGAAGGCAGGTAAGAAGGGAGTAACAAGGACAGGTAAGAACGGGAAAGGAAAGGAACGTTTAGTCAGGGGAGAGGGACTTGCAGTCCCCTCGAGACGATAACTTCTGGAGAACTGTCTGTATTTTGGCTCAGGGAAGGTTTTGCTACCCAAGTGCTTTCCATATAATTCAGATAAAGGAGCTGTGAGATTTAGATGATTTTCGCATATCTTTGGATATTTGGCAGCTTTATGGATGCCCTCTTAAACTCAGATATATATCTATATCTATATCTATCTATCTATCTATATATATCTCCTCTTGTAATATTTTCCCACCTTTGAAAGGCTATCAGAGGTGACTCTTTAAGTCAGGGTAAAGAAGCTTCTATGTATTCTCAATATAGATTTAGCAAGCTTCAGTGGAAAACTATGAATGACAAATTTTTAACCATTTTTTTTCTGAGATGACTTCTCTGGGCAGAACTGCAAACATCACCATCTTTCATAAATTACTAAAACATAATCTTATAAAATATTCACTTTTGTAGAATCTCTTTTATAGACTTTCAATATATATCAAGCAAAATACGTAGAAAGGTTTGTGTGACATTTGAAAGCGACAAATTCAGAATTATATTTTCGATTACTATGTCAAAATAAGGAAGTAACATTTAGAACTATTTTATCTGAATGCTTTCCTAGTCTCTCTACACAGACTTTAAGGTTTTCATTTTTTTTTTTTGAGCTCTGTGTAAAAAAAAATTCATTTTGGGCCCAAGGAAATAAGTCTTTCAAATACTACATAATAAAGCTCTTCAAAGGGAGTTGATATAACATTTATTTCATTGTTTGTATTTTCCCACATTTTCCAAAATTTTATAATAAATATGTGTAGCTTTTGTATCAGAAAAAAATGTTTAATGGAACAACAAATAAAATTATACTAAGGCCAGACTCCACCAGGACAAAAGGAGGGTTGATGAATATCTAGGAATCTGGTGTTTATAGAAGGAGGGGGAAAACCCACAAAACTGCCTACCATTTTCTTGCAACCCCTTAGCCCGAATTATATTGCTAGTAGCGTTTGTGTAAATCTCACTCAAGTATGAAAAACTGTAATAAGATCTGAAAGACAGAATAATCACTCTTTCTGGGATATGACACCACAACACTGATCCAGAAAGAAGATGAACTGGGCATCCAGGAAGTCATTTGAGGAATTGATGTCTACGATCATCTTCTCAGGTGGACAACGGGAGACAAGAGCCTGCTGGAGAACAGTCCGACTGACTCTCTCCAGAAGGACTAGGTCTGCTTGTGTTCCAGGTTTAACAGGTAGAACCGTCCAAAATACACAGGAGGATGTCACAATTACATAAAACATAAACTGTTCTACATTAATGTATCATTTTTATAAAAATGAATAATACTGCTTGACTGGAGATGATGTCCAGGAAAACAGTTCACTCATAAAAAATAAAAAATCCATTAAAGCAAAACCCTCTGCTGTGCTAGGATTTCTGGGTTGACATGATGTCTGTGTGTCTACACTCACCACTTTGAATATACATTTGTGGATTTCAGAGACGTGTTTCTGTCACATTAATGAAAGGAGTTTGGCATTTTATATTATTAGTCTTTTGACTTTCGATCTAAAGGGATATGCAAATGTTTGGGCCAATAAACAGTGCATGCAGAACTAACGCTACTTCTGCGTTGGGTGACGCCATACAACTCACCACAAGAGAGGAGGAAGACTGTGGAAGGGAGATGGTGGCACCAAATCCCGCCTTTTGACAAAAGGGGAGCAGTCCACCCAGAACACAGCAGCAGCACCATAATCGTGGCTCTCTGATCCAACATATCCCCGTCCCCAAAGCGAATGTATCACAGCGCCATGCTGACAGAGGAAGACCACCAGATCATGTCTGAAGGTCGCTCCCAGGACCCCGTGATTTGAAAGCCACTGGGCGACCCCGGTTCGGGAGCGGCCGGCGGGGCGCGGAGCTTACCTTGAACTCCTTCTCGATGTTGGCCAGCTTGGCCAGCTCGTTGCTGAGCTCCAGGGCGGTGAGCACGGGGTCCTCGCTGGACAGGGACAGGTAGGCCGGGCTGGCCAGCCCCTTGTAGGCGTTGATCCTGGAGCGCGAGTGGCTGAAGGAGTCGTGCCGCTGCTTGTCGGTGCAGTCCCCGCACTTGCAGAAGTAGTCGTGCGGCCGCTCGATGCGGGCGCCCTTCATGAGCAGCATGTGCACCACCTCGTACTTCTGGCAGTGCGCCGCCAGGATGATGGGCGTGATGTCGGGCGAGAAGCGCGTGCCGTCCTCGTCGTAGGCGTAGAAGTCGTCGTCCTGCAGCTCCTGCTCGGAGGGGCTGAGCGTCAGGCGCCTGCTGGCCGCGAAGCCGGGGTGGCCGAGGATGGCCTCCACGATGCGCACGTAGCCCTTGCTGATGGCCAGCAGCAGCGCGTCGCCGATGCGCGCCAGGTTCTCCTTCTTGAGCAGCAGCTCCGTCACCTCCAGGTGCTCGTTGCCCACGGCCAGCTGCAGCGCGTTCTGGCCCATGTAGTCCACGCAGTTGACGTTGAGCGTCCGGGACTCGTCCAGCATCTTGCGCACCACGGGGATGTTGCCGTACTCGGCGGCGTCCAGGAAGCGCTCCTCCTCCGCGGTGAGGCTGGTGCCGCGGTCGTTGAACATGAAGGCCGGGCCCCGCACAGCCTGGCGCCGGCCCTTCTCCCGCATCACCGTCTTGCGCCTCAGGGATGGGCTTCCCTCCATGGATCTAAGCGGCAGAAACGAAACAACAGCTCGACTGTCAGGCCACGCTGCTTCCTCTCCCACGCCGGGCCCTCCTCCCGGAGTCCACAGCGCCCCGCGGGCAGCGGGTCCGTGGCTGGCAGCCTCCCTGAGATGCACCCGGGCTGTACCCGGGCTGCCCGAACCCGGAGAGCGGCCGCTCGCCCTCAGAACATGAGCTCCTGTTCCACGGAAAAAGGCACTCGGAAGGAATCCCAGTGGAAACAGTTTCCAGACACCGGCGCCTCCCTGTGACCCCGGTAAAGGTGGAAGTCATCGTACCTGGTAGAAATAAACTTACTACGGCTCTTAAAAGTATCGGAAATAGAGGTTAGCATGTATTTGGCAACAAAGCACTAGGCTTGAAGGCTAAAGAAAGTCCAGTTTTTAAGAATTTGGCCAGAACAATCTTCACAAGTCATTGCACATTTTTAACTAAAATATTGACACACACACACCCCCGCCCCCTCCAAAAAAAAGCAAAAAAAAAGCAAGCCCAGTATTTAGGCCCAGTATTATCTTTCAGGATCTTAGGTTTATTTTTGTCTCTTAAGGGTATCTGCCTCCCCCACCCCCCCCCAAAAAAAATTATAAGATTTTTTACCATGACACAGACAAGATTTAACAACTATAAAATTATAAAGTATTAATCTAGATATATTTTTTTGAAAATAACGGCGCCTTTGTAATAAGAATTAATTACCAGTGTTATATAGTTGCCTCTTTGAACTAAAAGGATATGGTATGACTTATGGTTTAAAAATCACTAGTATCAGTTTGTGAACAAAGCAAGTGGCACGAGTTGCAAATCCAGAAAAATGTTACTAAAGTCCTAACACCAGCCACAGTAGTTGAGATTTGGCTGCATTATAAAGCCATGTCATTAACTGATGAGTTCACATTTTAGTTTCTGTGACACTGGGTAAATACTTTCATTTGCCTGGGCTTCCTTATCCCAGGTGTAAAAGGGAAATTTATAACGTGCTCCAGGTTTTCCTCACGAGCTCATGAATCAAAGCTTTTTTAGAAGTTCTGAGTCTCTGAAAACCAATGTTAAATAAACAGTATCATTTTTAACATTGTGGTTATTGTTAATATTTCAATGGCTATTATTATAAGTACAAATCTGCATCTTTACCTTTACCCAGTTCTAACATTCTTGCTGATTGAAATGCTTAACAGAACTTCCTTTAAAGAAATCTGTGATTTTTGTTTTTTGTATGAGCTGTCCCAGCGAACGTACCAGGTAACGCTCTTTTCCCATTATTGACTTTTGAAACAAAGAAGAGCGACAAGTTAAAAGCGAATGGCTAGGGAAAAATGCTTCCTTTCCATATATGTATTCCAGAAATACCTTCTACCACTGACAAAACAGTATTCATAGAATCGGGGGTTGAAAACCAGAGGACGCTGGCCTCCCTGGGGGTTTGGAGGTGAACATTAGGAAGATCCCCAGCAGGAGAACAGAGGTGGTGACCAGCTCCCACTCAGGTCTCAGCTCTGTGGGCCTTAAACCAAGAGAAGAGCGCAGAAGCCACTGGCTGAGGTTTCCCAGGTAGAGGACAAGGACACGTGGCCAGGCAAACCTGTCTGTACAGAGGTGAGGAAACCAGAGGTCCCCAGAGAGACTCCTTAACTTGTCCAGGGCAGAGAGCGCTGCGACTGGCACCCCATTCTCCCTGCTCAACTAGTGTTGGGCAGTCAACTTGAAAAACTAAATACAGTATTTATATAACACATTTACATACACATAAATATGCACACACACATATACATATTTGTAGCAATTTCTACAAAGCAACACGGCAGCTTTTCATACCTAGGCTCTGGGGAGTGGAAATTAGGATCCCCAAGGGAAGGGAGTTTTACTTTTCACTTACACCCTTCTGTACATTTTGAATAGTTTTAACTGTAGTTTGAATATTTTTATTAAAAAATAAAATTCATGTTTTAAATTTTTATTTAATTCCTTAGTCAACAAAATTTTTAAAGTATAGGTATTTTATTGGCAACCATTCCAGTATAACTTTCTGAAGCTAAATAACTGCCCTACATTTGACTATTATTAGTAGGGTATGGATGTGTGGTGTGTCGGGTAGTGTGTGGAGTGAAGAGTGTGGAGTGTGTGGTGTGTGGGAGACAGGTGCAAGGTTGGGTGGGGGGGGGTGTTGTGTGTGCGTCTGTGTGTTGGTATGATGCTGATTTTTAGCAGACAAGAACTGAAACCAGTCTTCACTGAACTGCACAGAAGAGAACTTTGTTTCGAGACCAAACTCTATGACAAGGGTTTTAAACAAATCTTGTAAATATTGTCATTGTAATAAGTATCTCTTATTAATAATAGTATTGACTTTTATTGGTTAATATCTTTACTATTTAAGCTACAAACTGGTATCTTCAAATGGCTAGAATTTCCATATTGTGTAACAGATGAATTTTGTGCTTCTATTGATAATGTTGACATTATCTATGACTACAGAATATATATACAGAGTATATATGTTTGAAGAATTCCAATCTAAACTCAGGTGGGTTATCTTTGGGAAAATAAACTCAGTATTTATTAGTGTCACATCTTAATGGAAAGGACTTTTTATCTAATGACTGCTACCTACAAAAAAAAAGTCACTTATAAAAACCCCACCTTTTCTCCCAAAAGAGAGTGATTTTAAAATACTAGAAAATGATTCTTTCATGAATTTTTTCTTTGCATTTCTTAGTATTTTTAAGTTTTATCTTAGTATTTCTTCTCTTTTTGGAACCTATAACTCCATATTGTATTTGAGCTGAAATGTGGGATTTTAGCACTATACAACACAAGTTACATGAGTCATTTTGACTTTGTCTTTCAAAGACTCTAACACTAAGTGTGAAGTCAGATTTGTCAATTAGAACAAATTAAACTGCAGTTTCAAATTAAAAGAGCTGACTTAATGCTACTTATCTTCATGGTGAATCCACATAGGAAGTGTCTGTTTTGTTTTGTTTTTAACTTTCTTTACAGTATTAAGATAAGCTTCACTAATCTGGGTTGATAGAATGGCATGAGTCACATTCAGTTCATCCACCATGCATAAACATGGCCCCCGTCTCAGCTGGTCTTGGCAATGCATCTCCTGTAGCATGACAATAAGGAAGGAGTGAGGGTGAATGGAGAGGATGCTTAACGTTAGTAATGCTAATACCAAGGTAATTTTTTCAGACATTTCTGGCCGTTAGATCCCCACCCAATGGGCTGACTGACGCATGCAGCACTGCAAGGACCTTCTTTCCAGCAAAGCATTGGAGGACCTTCTTTCCAGCAAAGCATTGGAGGACCACTGACCTAACTCAGTGGCTCTCCAAGCGTCATGTGCAAGCTCCTTCACCGCTCATATGGACGGCTGGGACTATCTGACTGCCATGGGCTGAACTGGGTCCCCCCACAGAGCCATATGTTGAAGCCTAACCCCAATACGATGGTATTTGGCGATGAGGCCTTTGGGAGGTAATTAGGGTCAGATGAGGTGATGAGGGTAGAGCCCTAGTGATGGCGTCAGCACCCTTAAAGGGGAGACACCAGAGAGCTTGCTCATGTGGTCCTGCTCTCTCTCTCTCTACCATGTGAGGACAGAGCAAGAAGGCAGCCATCTGCAAGCCAGGAAGAGAGCTCCCCCCAGAACCTCACCACACTGGCGCTATGATCTCAGATTTCCAGGCTCCGGAACTGGGAGAAAACACATTTCTGTTGTTCACCCACCCAGTTTATGGTACTCTGTTACGAGAGCGCAAGCTGAGCAAGACAATGACTACACATCTTAAGGCAAAAAGCATTTTTTTCATGCTTTATGAAACAAACTTGAGGTTCTTAGTAATTGTCCAAACTCAAAATCAGATAAAAAGTTCATCCTAAGAAATATTTTGGTGAACCCAAAGACAACCCTTTGCTCCATTCTATTCAGAGGCAAAAATACAAGTAACACTCCTCGGTTTTTATAACTTTGTCATCAACTTATCTGACCTTTATCAGTGTTTCCGTGTGCCTTGAGGACTACCTGCCTCAAGATCGCTGGGACTGCCTGTTAAAATGCAGCTCTCTGGGCCCCATTCGACATGAACTAAATCAGAATCCATCAGTGGTGGGGCCCTGGCATCTGTATTTCAAGCAAGCATCCTTTGCAATTCCTGTGTATGCTAGAGATAGGGAAACTCCGGAGTAACAACAAGGAGCTATGCTGGATCAATGACCCCAGACTATGAGGCCTGTAAACATTTGTCACACTGGCCCTGCCAAAAGAAAAGTTGAAATAACATGGCTGAGCAGTCCAGCCTAAGGGACGTCAGTCCTATGTTCATTTCAGTTCTCTATGCTTTATTACCATTTAAAATGTGATCGCCAGACAGCTACTTTACCTGAGTCACAGTTACTAAGAAACCCGTAGAGATGCCCTCATCGGTAACCAATCAGTGTCATGCCCCTGCTTTTATCAAGGATTGATAATTTTAAAGGCTACTACGTCTTCTTCAAAACTGCATTTAAAGGGTCAAAGAGTTGCCCATGATTGTACTTTTATGAGGATTCAAGCGCTAAGTGCTCCTAGAATTGTGTAGCAAGAAGCCTTTCTCTATGAGTTTGCTTCCTTTCATCTAACAATGTAACTATATAACCCTGGCCATTTGGTAAAGCCCAGGGTAGCCAGAACAGTTTAGATCTAAAAATGCTCAATAATCATCACAACCATATCCCAGATCTCTGGCACAGTCTTTCCCCTCCTTCTAAAAGGTTTCTCATGTAGATTTAGAATCAATTATCCTATATTCCATGTGTTTTAAACCTATTTTATGGTTATCTAAATTTTTTTAAAAAATAGAGTATTGATAAATACCCCCTCATATATGCCACTGCACACATCCCTGGGTGATAAGGTCATGCTTTATAATATATCACCACCCAGTGTCCCCCAGGGAGCAGATTCTCAATAATATCTGTTCAGCTAAATG